TAATCCTACAAGTTCAACCATCTTCCAAGAATCTGTACAAAAGCGCTAGAAATACTGCTGTTCCCAATGCCTTACCAATCCTAACCCAAGCTAAACTGACAAGTCTCCAATTTTTTACATTCAATTTTAGAATGTCTTTTCTTTCAGCTTAATTAATGAATCTCCCTCACTACTTATTCCACTTCAAAAAAGACCTTGTAAGCCTGCACAGCAAGAAGAAATCTTAATTGCTCTGACTGCCCTCAATGGGGAAAAAGGCTGAACATAAATCAAAGCCTTCTGTTACTATTAACTCAAACCTTTTCCTGTTTCTAAGGCTCAACTCTTTATTCACCTTGACCCTTCCCCTTAACCTGCATCTCTCCTCTTAACCTTGACCTCATCTTAACCTTCACCCAATGAAAATTAAGATTCTGGAGTGCACAGAATTTACCCTTGGATCTGTCACAATTTGATTACAAAACTTGCCCTAGTTCAACCAATGTAGCTAATAAAAGGGAATAAAGGACAAGAGATAAAACCCAACTATCTAGTTACTTATCAGCAAATATAAGATGATACCACTCCACCTAAACTCCAGAGTAAACATATTATTGGGAAAAAATTAAAAAATCATTATAGAAAGCTTTGGAAATCAAATTTTTCTGACTCCCAAATAACAGTTAACCAGTTTGGTAAACTTGAACTAGCTCATTAGCTTGGCCTCGTCACTTCATATCTTTAATCATTAAAAAGGGCTCCATTCATCAGATGAAAAATACAGTTAATCACTATCAACCTCATATATATTGTGTTAGTTACAAGATAATATGTGGAATAATATAATTTAATGATGGCTATCTAATACTAAATGGAAGTCATATATACTAATAAGAAACTAAATCAAAGGTTTGAACTCACAAAGCTTCAAAGAAAGCAGGAGTCCCTGTTGTCATTAAAAATATTATTATAAATTATAATTTATCATTATAAATAAGCTATGATTCTCTTAGAGAGGGTCAGTGCCTCATTTAATACCCAATGAATTAAACAGGTAGTTTTGTGAGGGTTTTTTAAAACTAATCTCTATTTCGGTGTTCATTATAACTTTATAGAGAACAACTACCAAAAATAATGCAACCAGCTTCATGGAATACTCGCTCAGGTCCTGTTCTGTGAAGGCAGCATAAATAACTGAAACGTTTTGAGGGCCAGTGTTGAAACACAAGGTTAGGATCCTCTGAGCTTCTGCTTAAAAATAATTTCCTACTGGTCAATATATAGCCTTATTTTCTTGGGAATGCTATTCAAATATAAGGTAATTAGGCTACATTATTGATTTATAGTCACTGAACTCATACCCAGCACGGCAATAACTCATACTTGAAGGAAAATCAGTTCCATTAAATCAGTTCCATTAAACCATGCCACAGCCATCTAGTGCTTCAAACACAGGACAAAACGTCAGTACCACACGTGGGAAACATTTTAAACAGCAATACCAACATAAACACCTAAACTTGACACTAAATAAGACGATGGAGAGGAATTTTTACAATATAAAAATCTGAGAGGAGCTGGGCACCGGTGGCTCATGCCTATAATCCTAGCAACTGAGGAGTCTGAGATCTGAGGATCATGATTCAAAGCCAGCCAGAGCAGAAAAGTCTGTGAGACTCTTATCTCCAGATAGCTACCAAAAAAACAAAAGTGGTACTCAGGCTCAAGGCACTAGCCTTGAGTGGAAAAAACTCAAACGGCACAACTGACTAAACACAAAACAAAACAAAACAAAAACTTCTGAGTGGAGAAAATGAAGTATCCCCTTGTTTGACCTAGGCTGGAACACGTATATTTGAGTGACTCTTGCAGATATATTCAAATGACCACCATAAAATTGTGACTATTGATTTGGGAATTACTTATAAAGTTTAATGAACAGGTAAATTTGCAAATACAGAATCCATAAATACTAAGGGTCAGTTGTACCACGATGATTCACATGGTCTAATTTCTTTTCCCAAAGAATTTTGAATTTGTAGGACCTTATAATGTAAGAAAAAAATTATTTCTCATTATACTTTTTTTTCAGAAAAAGCTCATATGAGATAATGATAGATGTAATAATTTTTAAACTAGAAAATGTTAATCTTGTTTGTTTCATACCTGAGAAATCTTTAATATACCATCAAGGGTATTTTCTTTTATCTTACAAAATGGTGGCTCTAAACTAAATGTCTTTAATTTAGTATCTTTGATCTTGAACTAACATTAAACAATTACAAAATAAGATATTAAACAACTGGTTAATCTAGATATTAAAACCCAAAGTATCTTAAGAATAAGGGAAAAAATTGAAGGACACAGTGTTACATTACCTTTCTTTCTCACTTTATTCTTCTTCTTTGTTTTTCTACCTCTACTACTTATCTCTGAAATCACTAGCATCACTAAATGTGACATCATACTCGCTTTCCTCTGTACCAGAACTTCCTACCTGCTTTGGTTAGTTGATTGGTTATAGGTTGGACAGCAGTCAGTAGAAATAGATCTAGGTGAAAATAGACAGAAGGATGGACAGGTAGCAATAGACAGAGCATAGGAAGTAGATCTAACATTGAAACCAGAAGTCAGGTTGGGTACTGCTGAAATCCAATAAAACAGAAGAGATGGACTTAAGCACATTCAGAAGCAGTCTTGTTCATTTTCTTCTTAAGAAGAAACAAGGTCATCTGTTAGTAGTTAAGCAGGGCGGAGTTTGGACAGGCCTCTGGGAGCTTGGTGACAGTATGAAATAATAGGTCATGAGAGCAATAACCAAGACATTCAGAATCCAGTGAAGAGTGCTGATGAGCACTGGGGCTCCAGCTGCTGGCTGGGAACCAACGTCTTTGGCCACCTCTAGCTATAGCTCTCAAGCACTCTCCTGCAAAGATGTAAGCAGGTCATCAGGTTCTTCCCTAGGCTTCTATTTTGTCTTGTGCTCTACATAAGAACTGAACTTTGCTTCTTGCTTTTGCTCAGTAACTGACCCACCAATGTCCATCAACCATCAGAGTATGTTAGTAGTCAACACCCTCATAACACTTTTCCCTTTTGTCTTTTTATGGCTTCTGCTCTTCAGTTCTTCAAGCCTGAGTGAATCAGAATAAGAAATGAGAAGGTTTGAACCTTCAGTTAGTGCCATTTTTATAGGCCAAACATAGCTAAGTATCAAAGGTTTGATGAGAGAGAATAGAATGGAATTATCAGCTTAGAATGCTAACAGATTTCTCCTCTGCTTGCAAGTGACTTGAGAGTCCCAGGGCAGCTCAGGGCCAAGTTCACAGCAGCTGCTGGGGTCTATCTTCCACAGGCATCAGTTTGGAGAAAAGAAATGTCTCCAACATGATTAGCAGAAGCTAATGATTGAGCAGAAACTCTTAGTCTAACCTTTCCTATTTCTTTTTTTCCTGAACAGGCCCAGTGTTCAGTTGTCAAGGATACAAACACAATTCAAAACAAGAGTGATGGGAGAAAGGGACACTGGGAGGAATAAGCTCAAAGAAAGAAAGAACTCACACTATGATGTCTTGACTAAGACTAACAATTGTAGCAGTTGTTTTAAGCAGAATTAAAGGCAAAATATCAAACCAGATGTTGCTTCATTTTAGGCACAGAGCTTTGGTCTTCATGTCCTCTAAGACTGTCTAATGTGGCTTTTTTGGCAAATACCTTAGCATCCTCTCAGCTAGGCCCAAAGTGAGTATAGAAACATGGCTGTCCTGAGTTAACAAATATGCATTCATTAGGAAGGTTCTGCCATTGAGAAATGTTTAGGGAACCTGAGAAAGAATCTCTGCTGAGTCAGCAGTAGAGATGCCAAAAGGGTATCAGTACAATACACCAACCTCAGCTATTAATGGTGACAACTGGCAGATGCTACGATTTTTTATTGGCTTATATAGAAGCTATAACTTTCTGTTTTTGGGGGGTCGGTCATGGGGCTTGAACTCTGAGCCTGGGTGCTGTTTCTCAGCTCTTCAGCTCAAGGCTAGCGCTCTAACTACTTGAGCCACAGCACTACTTCTGGCTTTTTTTTTTCTGCTTATGTGGTGCTGAGGAATCGAACCCAGGGCCTCATGCATGCAAGGCAAGCACTCTACCACTAAGCCACCTAAGGACTTGGAATGTATGACACGACTATCTCAGGTCACTAAAGGTATCAGTTTACTCTGTTCAGTGAACTGAGGCTAAGGATGGTAAATGTACTCAGTGCAAAGCTGGTAATACCTATTGAAAAAAAGAAACCAAGACAGAAGAAACACTACTCTAAGCTGTCAGGGAACTGATGAGAGACACAGCCAGCCTAGCAGCAAACATCATCTCAAATGCTTTCAAAGGTCAAGCTGAAATGAGTGAGGTAAAGCTGTGTGAGGAGGAGAGAAACAAACATTATTTTGGTTTTGCTCTAACACTCTTTTTTTTGTTTCTTTTCATTTCCTTCTTTATCACTCTTAGTTTTTCATTCTGTGTTCTTTTAAATCAAAGTTATTCTCACTTCCTCCCTAATATCGAGTCTCTATATAAATCATCTTACAGCCTTTTCTTTCAGCCTGAAATTTTTTCTGCTCAGGCAGACACTATTTTCTTGCAGAACTGGAGGATTTTTTTTTTGTTTCTTTTTCTTAAGAGTATGGGAAATGACGTTGGGTTTATCTTGGCAGAACTAAATGGATCAAAAAGGCAAGGAGCTGGGAAAGAAAAGGGAAAGGAAGGGTCTCCTGTCAAAAATAATCCTGATTTCTAACCAATCGCATGGCACGCGTAAGCATTTTCATAGATAGCCTTAACAGTTTTATGAGATTATTTTTTTTCTGGCTTTCGAAATGTGCTTTCCACAGTCGTGCTGTTTTCAAATGAACTGAAAGAAGCCCTGTGTTCAGAAGGAACAAGGATGGGCTATAGCATATGACTGAAGAGATACAAAAGCTGCTTTATTTAAACATATGTTTGCCCTGGCAGGCGTTTTGGAGACCCACCTGTACATAATCCACGCTTCGTCCGAGCGCTCGGAAGGCTGTGTACATGACTTCTCTTTTTCCGCCCCATTTTTGCATGATGCAAATACTCTTGTTGGACAACACCAATTGGGTGACGTGTTGTGAGCTCTCCTTGTGGGACTTATCTGTCTCACCCGGACCCTTTTCATGGAAGTTGTTCTTCCAGATATAAGTGGCTGATTTATCCCTGCCCATGACTTCACTAAAGATGTCCATCATGTAACAGTCATCGTCAGAGTTCCCGTCGATGACCATGACCACTTTAATCCCTGGGTAGGTGAGCCTTTTCACAGATTGCAAACATTTCCTTAAGTAGTCTGGATCTTCCTGATAGGCAGCGATGCAGAGAGCAACCTTTTTGTTCAACTTAATGGGGGTTTCCAGGGATTTTTTCATTTTCCGGTGTTCCAAAAAGGCAAACAGGCTTTGGATGATGAGGTGGGATGCCAAAAAGGCACCATATAGTCCAAAAGAGAAATAATAATTATCCGTTTGGATAAACTGGTAGCCAACAATATAAGCAGCTGTGATTCCAAGGAGAAGTGAGACTCCAAAAAGTGTGGTTCCAATTATCCTCAGGATGCATAGAAACCTCTCACAATGCATCTGTAAATGCAATCAAATGACACTCTTGGTTACCATTCTTGACTTAAGTTTGTTATAGACTTGGAGGAGGACTATACAAGACAGGGTGCAGGAGTCATAACACTAAATTTTTCACGTCACCTATGTGTGGTCCCACTTGGTCCATCTGCAAGAAAGGCATAGACTAAGGATGCTTTTCTCAATAGGTGAGGATTCAACTGCACATCATAATGTATACACAAATACCTGGAGGCCTCAGTTTTTGTTTTCATCCTGCTCTTTATGTATGTTATCACAGCTAGAGATAGAACCAAAATGTCCTAAAGCCCCAAGAGATCTTTGTTCTTGCTCTCTGTCAGGATCTTGAGAAGCTAAAAATCCACACAAAATGTTGCTAAGTTTCTCGTGTGTGATTTCATCTCATTTCTAGTGAAATCCCACAATTTACATATTTTCCATGCAGCTAGCTGAGACTGGAGATCAGAATACCTGGATGCCAGTCCTTGGTGATAAACCAGCTCTATGCTCTGGACTTTGGATGACTCATCTGACCCCACTGGGCCTCAAGGTGTTCTTTTGTTTTAATCTTCTAAATGTGAGTGTTTATGCTTGGCTATTTCCAAATTTCCAGTTACAATGATAAGGCTTCATCCCTAGAGATTCTAAACAAATACATTTCAAAGTCCTTGTGATTTTGAGATGCCATCCTCTCTTCTGTCAGTCATCCCCAAAATTAATTGGCTAGATACTGGGGAGTCAGAACCCTTGTTGAAACACAGTAAGCACAAAATGAATATTTTTTAGACATAATTAGTATAACACTGGGAATGTGGTTCAGTGGTAGAGTGCTTGCCTAGCATGCATGAAGCCCTGTATTCCTCAGTACCACATAAACAGGAAAAGCTGGAAGTGGTACTGTGGCTCAAGTGGTAGAGCACTAGCCTTGAGTACAGAGAGGCTCAGGGACAGAGCCCAGGCCCTGAGTTCAAGCCCCAGGCAGGAAGGAAAGAAGGAAGGAAGGAGAGAGGGAGGGAGGAAGGAAGGAAAGAAGGAAGGAAGGAAGAAAGGAAGGAAGGAGAGAGGGAGGGAGGAAGGAAGGAAAGAAGGAAGGAAGGAAGAAAGGAAGGAAGGAAGGAAGAAAGGAAGGAAAAAGAAAAGAAATTAAAGATTAAAAATTAAATTAAATTAAAAATAAAAATAAAAAATTAAGATTGAAAAAGAAATAACAGCATGCTTAATGCCAGTAGATGAGTGTCTACTTTAAAAGCTCTAGTACAGGTGTTGATGGCTCACGCCTATAATCCTAGCTACTCTGGAGGCTGAGATATGAGGATCAGAGTTCAAAGCCAGCTCAGACAGGAAAGTCCTTGAGACTTTTATCTCCAATTAACTACCAGAAAACTGGAAGTGGTGCTGTGGCTCAAAGTGGTAGAGAGCTCGCCTTGAGTGAAAAAGCTCAGGGACAGCGCTGAGGCTCTGGGTTCAAGCCTCACAAATGAAAAAAGTACATAAAAAAGATAAAAGCCTAGAACATTAGAAATGAAAACTACCTCTGATCTTAATAATTTTGTCCTCACCCTGGATTTTTCATTTTTTCTCAATAAGATTTTTAGACAACTCAAGAACCAGCAGGTAAGACATTTCTCTATGTTCCCTCTTTTCTTTCTCATTCCTTCTTTTTTTCCGTTTGCTGGCACTAGAGCTTGAACAGAGACTCACACTTTCATGGACTTTGCTGACCACACTTGCATTCTCAATCCTCCAGCCTCATATCTCAGCCTCCTAAGTGGCTAGGATAACAGGCTTATTTTTTCTCTTGAAGACTGAATTCCCCTTTCTTTTAACAATAGAGTTAAGAACTATCTTCTAAGGGACACTATTGGTATAAATGTAGTCTTCCTGTCTTCAGACCTTCAAGGTATCTTTGAGGATACCATGAAATACAATGAGTACTTCCAGCTAAGTTTTGAACGTTGAATACTTTTATGTTAAATGAATACAAGTAACTCTGTAAAGGCTCCTCCTAAGGACGCCATGATAACTTTTTAATACACATCAAGCCCTACATTTGAATGTCCAAGTAGAACACAGATGCTCTGGACTGTAAACACTTGCATAGACATCACCTTGCTCAGCTCTAGAAAGATATTGCTCATGTATTCCCATGCCATTGCTTGTAACTGTACACAGAAGCAGTCCTCAACTGTGGGAGATTTTAGTATGGCGCTCAAAGGTTGTGTTATACCTCTCCATGTCAAGCATAAACTATATGGTGCAGTTTGGAAATCTAAGATGGGCCAATTGAAGAGGGACGTTGTGTCTCCACTGAGAGTTATTTTTCTTCCACAGGCCTAAATGTGTATTAACAAGGTCCTAGGGGACTACGTAGACCCAAGAAAGAAGAAGCCTGTCTCTTGAATTGTCATTAAGACAGGAGTCACTCACAAATATGGATACCTGGCTTGGACTCTTCCATGAGCAAGAATTGAATTCTAGTTGGGCACTGGTGGTTCCATGTCTGAAATCATAGCTATTTAGGAGGCTGAGATCTGGGGATCATGGTTCAAAGCAGTCCACGCAGAAAAGCCCATGAGACTCTAATCTCCAGTTAGCCACCAAAAAGCTGAATGTGGTCAAAATGAGAGCTTTGAGCAAAAAAGCCAAGCAAAAGCATAAGGCCCGGATTTCAAGCTCCAGTATTACTGATGTGTGGGTGCATGTGTGTACACGTACATGCATGCATATACACATGCACAAATAAGTTACAGATTTTTGTTTGTTCCCTTCTTGTTTCTTGTTGGTCATTATGCATTTTAGAGTCTACTTTACCCTAACCGGTTTACCTTAGGAAATGCAAAGCAATATAGAGACAACTTGAAAAAAATGGTGGTGTTGATACTTATCAAAGATTTTTTTCACAGGGCTTTGCTGAAGAGCTAATAGAGTACATGGAAATGGTTTTAGAAATCAGAAATGCATGCAGTGCAAAGGATCATTAACACAGGAAGCTGGAAGAAAAAATAAAACAGAACACAAACTGTGTTCCACTGTTAGCAGCTGTCTAGGAAAGTATATGCCTGGGAAAAGCAGCCATAACAGGAATGGCAAGTTGAGGCTTCTGGGAAAACAGAGATATGCTTCGTTTCTAGTGACAGGCAAGCAAGACCAGCATCCCTTGTTAATTACCACAGCTGGCAGGACACTCCTCCAGGGCTCCATGAACCATTGCTTAAAGGTGCTGCAAGCACCAGACTTGGAACTTGTCACTTCCAAGACATGAGTCATTCTCATAAGAGTGAAAAATTTCAAGGGGACTAAAGCACTTCACCAGGGAGAAGCTTAAGTGTGTGTTTCACTTACGTTTAAAAATCTCCCTTGCCAGCAAGAAAAAAACAAAAAACACAACCAAAACCCACCCTGTCTGCCATTCTTTTCCATTATTCACATTTTCCTTGCTTTTATCAGCACACGTGGACATAAAATGGTCACATCACATCTGCTGGCCACAGTTGAAGTGGGAACACCCTCTTACATCATAGGAGTCCACAGAATGTCCTTTTGAAGCCTGGGAAAAACTGCTAGCTAACTGCAACAACATGAACCTTTATATTCCTGCTAGATACCTCAGCATTGCCTGGTGTGACACACAGAGCATCTCTCAGTGCAGGCCAGAGGCCAAAAGGCACATTTTAGAGACAGCTTTGCTGAGGGGATACATTGATCTCAGAGAGTGACACACAGGATGTGTGGTTGCTTTTTTTTTTTTAATTCCCTTAGGCGATTTCACAGATATGGGCACCATATGTGAAAGGCTTTCTGAGACAATCCCTAATTCAAATGCTCTGTCTCACAAATACACTTAAAACAGGAACATGTCTGTGTGGGTTTTTCTCCCCTGTCAACTTGGAAAAACAAGGTTAGTTCAATCTTAAATCCTAACGGCTTACTGTTAGATAGAAAATGCTTTTGGAAATCTACATTCTATAAATATTCAAAATATAAAATGTGGATGTATCAGAGTTTGATTTTTAAATTGCTACTGGATATGATATCAAATCATTTAATAACATAGTCTCCACAGAATTCTGGGCTAAACCAAAATGTACAGAATGGCTTAACACACAATAATGCAAGCTCTACCATGTCAACATGTGTTTGAGTGTGTGTGCATGTATACAGTCTGTTTTCTCTAATGTGCCCCAGTGACATAAAACATTGACTGGTTTTACTAGAAATTCAATAAATATCTGTTGAATTCATACAATTTTATGATCCTCACCCTCATGGCTATAATAGCAGCTAATAGTTAGTTATTCATTCTTTCAAACAGTGAGGAAAGTTTTTGTCTCATTTAACAACATATCATTTAATCTTAATAGCTTAGGTGCTAAAGATATTATTAATTGTATGTTATCATGTATGCATGAGACAAAAAAATTACCCAAAGTTACAAACAAACCCTGCAGCACCCTGAGGTCAAATGATTAAAGCATTCTCAATAAATCTGCTGAACATATTTAAACCCACGTAATGAAACAGGCTGTATCCTTCTTTTCTGGCAGCAGCAGCAGCAGCAGCAGCAGCAGCAGCAGCAGAAGAAGAAG